GTTTTGTTTTATTTTCCTCCTCTAACCCTGTTTGTATAGAAAATATTCCCTGTAGGCACCCGTACCATTTGCTGAAGTTATCTTAGGGATTAACATTTTCTCTGGTCCGTTCTCTCTGGCCTCCAACATTCTGCAAATTTTTCACATAGCCCTGCAACTAAACAACACCTTTCGGGATAAAAAAAACACTCATGTGTTAGAATGATCTGTTTTTCATTTGTTTTTTTGGTGTTGTCATGTGTAATTGCTGCCAAAATCTGGCAAAAGTCTGGGAATGGGGCTGGTGGGCCTCAGCTATCCTGTTTTGACCGTTGTCTCGGTTACTATGGATGGCATGTACCCAGTTGATCCCCGTGTTACAGCACTCCGGTAAACAGCAGGCGCAGGCTGATGCCTGGGTTATGGTGTCTGACCTGACTGTGTTTGCTCAGGGAGAGCACGGGAGGGAGGGGAGTTGTGTAACTACTATATGAGGAGAACAACATGCTGAACCTACCTACCTCCACTCTCAGCAGTTTGACATATTCAGCTCAGGTTATAGGGACTGTTTCTTTTTCCACGGCTTGTGTCTGTGATCCGATTTCTCAGCAGCTGTTTAACGTAACACCGTGTGAACTTACACATGGTCTAGACCCCAGACTTCTGATGCATCTCGTTTATTCTTGTTCATTGGAACATCGAGGATGCTGACGTCTTCTGTTCAGAGGAAACCCTTGTTTGGAAGTCCCTCTCTTTTAAAGAAATTGAAACCTATAATGCCCTGCATAGCTTTGTGTAAAGAGCAGATGTGTGGAAATAGCCTGCATTAGGAGCATGTATAAATAGGTGATTGCATCCTTGATACTGGGGGTTGTTGGGTTGGCCAGTGAAACCTGGTCGACTTATATGGATTCAAGACAGTGACTCTCCCCTTGCTCTGCTCTCCTCTGGCAAAAGGCATGCATGTTTGGGATTTTTCCGCATTGAGGAATCTGTTAAAATGATGCAGAAAGCACAGACATCCTTCAAGGAGAGGATTCATTAGTGTTTGCCTTGGCTGCCCCCTTTTGGTAGTTTTCCAGGAAAATAAAACCCCGTACTGTCCTTTTTTTTTCCTTTGGTACTTGCTAATGTGCAACACTACTCTTCCTGAGCAGACCACACTAACGTCAGCATAGTAATTCAAATCAGATCACAGCTGTTATTTGAGAACCACTGTTGATATCTGATGCTGTAGTTTGAAGAAAAAAGAAAAAAAAAAACATTGGCTTTTGCTGTGGATTTATTCCAGAATAACTGAACACAACCAAGCTAGTCTACCTGGTCTTTTTTTTTAACTCCCCTTTTAAGACCCAAAAGGCAAAAAAAGCTTGTAATTGTTTAAAGTAGGAGTCATCTTTTCCTTTTTTGTAGAACTGTAAAATAGTTCCAGCATATGACTATTAGATCTGACAGAATGAAAGGAAAAATAGTTGAAGCATTTATGGATCTTAAAGGAGTGGAAAGGAGCTACATCTTTCACTGGATAGTTAAAAAATAAGTTAATGCATATATTAAATAGAGCAGATTAGGTATTTTGGGCTATTTCACAGTTTGAAATGAAATAAAGTGCACAAAATACTGACCAACCTGCATTTCCATGTGCATCTTACACAAATGCACTTCACATTGAGTAGTCCAAGAATAGGATGGCTGAAATTGAAGAAATAGGAGGATAACACCATCACACACAGAGAAGGTAAGAAAAAGTGTATCTGAATGTTTTCCTCCAGTTACAGCTGACACATAGAGACAAGTTGCTAAGGAACCAAAAAGTACATGCCTCCTATTTCTATGTGGTTGAGGCGCATTGCCCATGTGTAAAATTTGGTGTTGCAATTCCAAGACCAAATTCTAAGTTTTTGCATACAAATTTAAGATAAGAGGGAAATGTGTTCATATTCTTATCTGTAACAGGTTTCCCTAGGAAAGCATTTGATTTCTTAAGTTCTTAGGCTGTTTTCTGACTAAAGTGAGGATGACATTAAAAAATATCACTGAGATAATTATATTTTCAAACCTAATACTAACCCGTAACAGCAGGGGTTACCATGATACTTCCAATTGGACTTTTGTCAGTTTTTTACTTAAACTTTGCAGTATCTTCTTCACTCAATTCCCATTGCTTCATAATCTTGGGGATTTTTATTTTTTAGAACGTTTTTTTTGGTGGATGTAGGTTAAGTAAATCATCTTCCCTACCCTGTTTATGTGTTTATTGACCTTAAACTAACCCGAGGTTAACATTAGCTCTATGTGATACCATATACTTGGACCACTGAATACTGTAACTACACATTTACACAGACTTCCTGAGGTTTTGGTAATAATATATATCATTGGGATTAGTTGTGAGAGCTGTTGGGTGAGGGTTTGTCGATAACAGGTGAGGACAATCCAGCACAACACAGTACATCTTGGAGAATATATCACTCTTTAGATGATTGTGTAATTGTTATCTTTCTTTTATTTCTCTTCATTTTAGTCACTATATATGAACAATAAATCACTGGAATCTCCAGTATAGACTGGAAATATAGTGCTACTGCAGATAAGCTTTTCATATTCCTGTAAAAAAAAATTGCATATTATTTAGTTGAAAAACACAATATGTTCTATGATTATGGTACAAGATGCTCAGAAGGTTCTATTACAGATGTTTTCATATCACCTACGTATGGTGAATGCTGGTTTAAGGGGTGTAACACCAAAGAACAGGTATGAAATTGCTTTTGTCCTAAATTTAGGTCATCTATACCCTGCATACGTGGTAGAACTTTTTTCACTGAAAACATATTGTCAATCAAATGTTTTAGCTTTGTCTAAGCATAATCCAGAATTTATTTTCTCTTGTTTTGGGTCTTTTTGTAAGTGGGACATCCCTGCACGCAGAGGCTTAAGACTAATCATCACATGCAATATGATGTTTTCTGTAGTTTTCATCTGTACTTAACCTTTTTAAAGTGTTTCTGTAAACACGCATGAAACAGTTTTTCTGATGGCAAAAAAAGACACAAAACCATCATAGTTAACATTAAAAGTTAATACCTTATGGCTTGTATACCTTTATTAGTGTTCTTTTAGTTTACTTTTGAAGACTTTTGAAAACTGATGATCATGTTGATCATGTTAAATGTTAGAAATTGTCAGCATGGATTGTTTGACAGATACCTTTCAGGTGTTTGTGTTTCTCAGTAATGCTTAGTAAAGAGTGAGGAGCTTTTAACGTCATTCCAAAAAAGTCAAACAATCCTCTGGACTTGGCTTCCAAGTTTGAAAACATTTCGCTTCCCATCCAGGACTCTCTTTTAATTCAAAATGTCAGAAATAGCGTTGAGTTCCAAGCTTTATTGACTGGAAAACTTATTTTGGCTTAAAAAACATGCAAATTGAACGAGAAGAACGGTTCCGCCCCTTAGGGAATGAGGGGTTATTTTGGGTTCTCTGCAATATCCGATACTGGGCTATGGCTCTGAAATGAGTCATTATCTTACCTTAACTTTTTTTGTAATGTTCTATTACCTGGATGAATGAGAATCTTCACCAACAAAGCATCTAATGGTTTTTTGCTCAAGAATAATGTGAGTTAATTTTCTCTAATTCTGGACAGATTCTCTTACTCTTTTAAGGATTTCTTTTATTCAGACTGAAACTGGGCTTTCACCCTGTGTGCATGATTATTATTAATAAGGAAAACAGTAATAAAGTTATACGTCTTTTTTGCAATTAACAGAAACTTATGTACGATATGTTGCTTGTCACATGCTTGGTTGCTAAAAATCTAACGTAATCTGTGCTACATTTCAGAAAATAATATGATAATTTTAGGCCTTATTTTGTAATTTATTTGCGATTAATCAGTCAGTATTAGAAGTTCTCACCCCTTGAACTGAACCATTTTGCTCGCTGTGTCCCCACCCTCCAAACAATCCAAAACAGTCCTTATTCCAGGGTAAGGTTGCCCTCATATCAAAAATATGCATCTACAAGCTGATTCACAGATGTCACAGTGAACCGGTTCCAGTGAGGCATGTTTTTGATTATCTTTCCCTCTTTGTGATGTAAGGGAATGAGCCAAACATCAGAAATGGATGCATTATAATGGTGGCAGTAAAAGTGAAACACAAACTGCCTTACTTTAAAAAATAAGTCATACATTTGTATAAAGTTATCAGTATTGATTCTAATAAAAAGAGGAACCTTGAACTGTACACTACGTTGTACTATATTATTGTAACGCTTAAGGAGAAATTTTTTAGCTAGAGCATTATTTATTTCATCAAAATACTGAAAATAATCACTAGATTTAACAGGTTGCTGACACTGATATGGCTTACATAAGATGTTACTAAATCTCCGAATGGTTCTTCTGTTTCAATGTATTCAATTTTGAAATAGTTACTTGCCTTACAAGATGAATTCTGTAAATGGGGTAAAATCTGTAGAAATTTTAGATAAGCAAAGCAATTAAAGTTCACTTTGCTAGTTAACCATGGCTAGAAGAATTTAGAACTAGTTTGAATATGAATATGAAATGAATAGAGTCTATATATCAAAACAGACCCTACTAAAACTTCAGTACTGTGATTGTGGCACTATAATAATTAGGGAACAACAGCTGTATTTTAGTTAGTATTGTTTAAATGGCAAATAACTTGTGCTAAATCATCATAAATTAAATATTAGTTTTGGTATTAGTATTAGTCTAGTCCCAAACTTTTCATTGAGCAGTGAATGTTATGTCTTTAAAATGGTTTATTTTGTCTGACTCTCTTTCTCCCCCCAAAAATGAAGGTCATTTAGATTAAAGTGATGCAAAGCCATTTTAAAAGATAATCAAAGCAGGTGATCAGGAATCTGAATGCACCAAGTTAGCCAGAGTTTGTCTAACTAATCTTTATCATTATGCAAGCTTTTTTTTTTTTTTTTTAACCATCGTCTGACACCGTCTTTCTTCCCATGTGTGTCTCTGTCCACCTCAGTGTGTCCTCCGCAGTGCAAGTTGGCCTGCACAGATAAGGGAGAATGCTGCCATAGCCAATGCCTGGGGGGCTGCTCCGAACCCAACAACGACATGGCCTGCTCTGCGTGCATCCATTACAACCACGATGGTCGCTGCGTGCCAGACTGCCCCGATGGCACCTTCATGTTTGAGGGCTGGCGCTGCATCACCATGACTGAGTGCAGTGAGGTGCATCTGCCCAACGACAATCTCTTTGTCATTCACAACAGAGAATGTATGAGCGACTGTCCCTCTGGGTTCAAACGTAGTTCAAACGAGACTGATCGGTAAGGACACAAACACAACTCAGACACCTTTCTAATTTCATGGTCATGCTAAGCTGGGGGGCATATTTGATTTATAATCTCTAAAAATAGGAATATCTCATATTAAAGAACTTTGAAAGTCCTTATCTTTGCTCTGTATTTGAACCTCCAGAACTGGATGTTTTGGTGAAATTTCCTGTCAACAGACGGGTGTTAACGCTTAAGTATTCACAGACATTAAAGCAGCCTGCATCCAGAGTGCTCTTATGCATTATGCATTCCTTTGCATAAGGCATCCTTGACTTGAACTTGAACTGACCTCAACTCTTCACACGGATCTTTTCCTAAAGTAGTTCTTGACACAGGAAGTTGAAGAGGTTAAGCGTGTACTGAATTCTAAAAGATTCATGATTTGACGGTCTATACAGTAAAATGTCCTCAGCGCAGGGCCTTGTTTTCTGCTTTCACACTGATACATTTCACAGACCAGTACTCGGAGGTTGAAAGAAGAGACTCGCCTGAGGCCTTTTCTACTTCCTTTACATGCAATCATAGAACTTTGGACTTTTTCACATTTCTTTATCTTTTACTAACATAAAAAGTGTTTTGTTGTTATTCTTTTTTGTGATCGATCCACAAAATGTGGAAGGAAAAAAAACAAAAAAACATGATTCTTAGCAGTTCTCTAAGCGAAAGTTAGAAAAGTGATCTTTGCATGTATGCTTTCCTCTGATAACTTGGAATCAAATCATGTAGAACCTTAAGAAATTAGCTAATTAGTAAAAAGAGACCACCATACCAAAGCATTTCCATTTATCTAAACTGGCCAGGCAACAATCAGAAAAGCGACAGGGAAGCTTATGATAGGCTGCTGAGATCCACAGCAGGTGGGGAGATCTGTAGATTGGACAATTATTAGTCATGGACTCCATTGATCCTGCCTTATTGTGGGGAAAAAAAATCCCTAAAAAGTTACATTTGCATTTTTCTTTGAGAAATGCATTGGAACACAAAAAATATGTTAATAAAATATTTTAGATAATGTCAAAATTATTATGAATTCACTTCCATTTCATAGTTAAACGTTACTCTCTGCTGCTCTGTCCGAGATACTCCTGAGCATTCACAGCAGTCCTTTAAGATTTTCTTCTTATCACAAACTCGGGAGTTTGGATCCGAGTTGCATGTGTTTGTAGCCATTGCATGCGCTTTGTCTCAGAGGTCGAACCAGTGAGTCACTCTCTCACGGAACATTTCAGCAGAGGCTCCATAAAAGATTAAACTGTCCATGTGAGAAGTGACCTTTTATCATGCCCTGAATTTATCAGCCTGAATCCCCTAGAATGCTTCTAGGCTGAGAGAAGATGAATTATTTTAGGGAGAGGTAGTAAACATTACAAAAAAACAAGATTTTGTTCTAATCATTATTATGAAAAGTCACCCCCCCTTCTCTCTCTTTAACTCTGTTTTATGCACAGTCATTGCACAGCTTGCAACGGTCTGTGCGACAAATACTGCAGGGGTACTGTCATTGATTCTGTGGATGCTGCTCAGTCCCTGAAGGAATGCACCGTCATCGAAGGCAACCTGGTCATCAACATCCGCAGTGGAAGTGAGTGCCTGTAACACCACGTGCTCTTTTACACAACAGATTGGTTTGGCGATAGATTCCAGAAATTCTTGCTATCAACAGAGCTATGCAGAATACACTGAGGGATATTTGGTGACTTTAAAGAGCGGCTGTACTGTTTGTGTTTAGCTGCATAATTGACCTTATGTTATTCTTATTACCAGTATTTGTGGGAATGATGAAATAAAAAAATATATATAGTCTAAAAAGTTTGGTGTGCATTTGTATTAGGCATGAGCTGGTATGAAATTCTGCTAGTTTAACAACCTCAAACAAAAATATAAAGATTTTACAGTATCACAGTTTATTATCACAGCTCTTTTTTCTGTAATGTCAGAATTAAAAAATGAAAAAAAAAGAAATGCTTCCTGAATTTTTGGCTGATCTTTAGCATTGTCTCTATAGTCACTTTAAGCATCAATGGAAGCTGCTTTTAGATCACTATTATCATGATAAAATTTATCTCCCTTTCAGGCTCGCACTCCCCTTTACGGGTACATTGTGATTTTTGGCACTCATATAAATCATTATATGCACAAAGGAGCAGCAAACATTTTAAGTACCAACGAGTGTACACAAAGTGCGTAGCTACAGCAAATAACACTGCATATTGCTTCTTCTGGCTGCCATTGTCCAAATGCAGTATGCAGTATTATAGCTGAAGTCTTCTTCTTCTTTAGAAGGGTCAGGGAAGGGGAACAAGTTTTGAATGCTCCCCTCGTTCAGCCGTCATTCAACCTTTTGGACTGGCAGCTACAGAGGGGTGTGCAGGGGGAGGGATCATGATGCTGCAGCTGCTAAATACCTGACTAACAGAATGACAGAAAACACCAGCGTTTTTAAAATTGTGATGTATTAATATTGGGATATAGCATGAAACATGTAAAAGGCCCATGCCTAATTTGTGTTTTTCCTTCTCTAAGTCAGCACTAGCAGAAGGCGTTCAAAGCGTGGGGAATTTTTGTTCTAATTTTTTCACAACATTATCTTGCTCTGCTCCTCAGCCTATGTGATGGTTTCATTAATTATGGTTATCTAAAAAAGCTCTGATGCCTTCATAGAACAGAGGCATCTACAGAGACTAAATTTTACACAGATGAACTATGCTTACTAATCAGGGGACCTCTTTAGTGATGGTGCAGAATAATATTTAAATCTAATAGAGAAAGGGTTAAATAACAAATATCAACACATTTTAGATTTCATCTGTTATTCATTTAAAAGCAAATGCCAGTAAAATCCTAGTAAAATACGGATATTTCTGTATTTTGCTTATAAATGGATAAAATCAGAAAATGTTCAAGGTAAATTTGTTAATGTAGAATATGGAATAAGCCACCTAATGCAGCTCACAGGGTTTATTATTGGCTTATATTAAGAGCTTATCTGGGTGACTCGGACTAATTTCAATACATGTCTGCTTTCCTTGTGACCTCTTTGCAGTTAATATAGCTTCAGAGCTGGAGACCTTCATGGGACTGATCCAGACTGTGACTGGCTACGTGAGAATTCGACACTCCCACTCTCTCAGCTCGCTGTCTTTCCTCAAAAGCCTCCGATACATCAACGGACAGGATCTTATCGATAAGTAAGGCTGATCTGTGTGGATACCTGGATACACATGGCCAATTGCAACAGTGTTTTCTATTGTTAGGGTTTTGGGAACAGGAATGTTTACTATCTAACAGATGCTTTAACTTTTTTATTCTTATGACTGCTATTCTTAATGGTTATTTTAAACTATTTTCATAGTTTTGTTTATGTATTGCTAAAAAAAAAACTATTTTGTTTGCAGTTCAATGAAGTTACTAGACTAAAGAAAAAAAAAATTACAAACAAAGGGCTTAAACCTGCCATCCCAAGTATACAGTAGATGAATAGCATTATGGCTAAGAAAAATATATATCAGATTTATTGATTATTGATATACTCATCAACTAATTTAGTAATTGTTTAATCATTAGAATACAGACCCTAAAAGATGCCTTTATCTGAAAGAGCAACACACTCAAAGCAGTAACAATTGCCTAGTGAAACCTGCCTTTTGCTGAGCAAATGGTCAACCATTTGGTTCACCATTCAAGGTTAAACCAAAATCGTAAAAAATGTATAAACACTATGCATTCAAGGTTAGAAACCTATTTTGTCCATTACTGTGGCGTATCCTGAACTTCTCATAGGTCAATGTTTTGACTTCATGTGGTTTAAATGCTCTGTAAAATCTTCTCTTCTCTATGGAACCTTTTTTTGTCCGATTATTAATTGATTAATCAGAATAAAGGATCAATGGTTGAATTAATTTGCAAAATAATCATTAGTTACAGCCCTGGATAACCTTGTTTTTATATATATATATATATATATATATATATATATTTATTTATTTAATAGAAATAAGTATTTTAATGAGAAACCAGCTGTTTAAAATTTGAAGACACCTGAAAGTAATGGGAAATGTATATTTTTGCGTTGTAACATTGATGTCTTTTCGTTGTTCTGTCAAATAATTCACTAAATTTACAAATAGTAAAACTGTTGAAACTAAAGCTTTCATCCCCATTTGTTTGTTGAAAAAAAAAAAATAAAATCATGTCTATTTCCTCTGTAGACCCTTAGTTTTGTACTTTTATTGTAGTATTGTAAGTGAACTGGGTTGGATTTATCTAATCTTTATGTTTTGGTGATGGTGTCCAGATAATTTTATAAGTAGCAAAAACAGGAGCTGGAAAGGTTCAGGTCTGCTAATGTCTTTACTTGGATATCAGCAGTCATCTTGGATTCCAGGCAGAGTTTTTTTTTTTTTTTTTGGCTCTGGAGGTCATGGGAAAGCCTTGTGTACTTCTTGTTATCATTTCTCCCGGTGTTAAGTTTCACTCAGAGGAATGCTGTAGAGGATGGCAGACATTCCCTTCCCTCTGGAGGCTTTCTGCCTGGACTGCTGGTGCTAATGGTGTTGACACGACACCATTACATACCAACGCTCATTGTTAGGCAGACACACAAATCAGAGCACACCTTTTTCCACGCCTTAATAAATGCACAACACTGCCACCTGTAACAGTATTTACAAACCCAATGCACTTTCAGTTTCCACCTGCTTAAAGTAAACAAATTATTTCAACATGTTTGTGACATTCTGCTTATCTTCTCCCCTTATCAGCATGTATTCGTTCTCCGCTGTCAACAACCAGAATCTGCAGTCCTTGTGGAATTGGACCCAACACAACCTGACTATTCAGGCAGGGCGTATATTCTTCCGTGGAAACCCGAAGCTCTGCATGTCTGAGATTCATGCCATGTGGGAGAAGACGGGCATAACCGTAAAACCAGAGGAGGCAGATTACCGCTACAACGGGGACAGAGCCAGCTGTGAGTGAACATTTTACTGAAGTAATAAAAAGTTGTTAAAAATATCATGTCTCTTTATAGGGTCATATATATTTATTTGGGGTTTTTTTCTAATAAAGAGCATGATGAGATCAAAGAAGTTTCTACACATGTCTACATTTTTTTTTTCCATATTCTTTCTAATTTAGTCATCTAGAAAACCGGTAACACTTACCGTAACTTTACAGTAAATTAATAACCATGTAATAACTTAGCAAGTAACACTATATTACTCGGTAACAAGAAAAGCTTTATTTTGTATTTACCCCAAAATTAAGGTATATGACTTGAAATTAATTACCTGCATTTAGTTATAAGATTTGTATGCTACTATGTAACAATGGAGACTTTTGATGGGTAATTATCATTATGTTACCACATCATTTATATTATTGGCCACCACCTACCAACAGCTTACAAAGTATTTTTAAAATAGTGATTTTTCATAGCTCTTAACAGTTAAAAACAACTTCACTTAAAGATGATTATCTTTATTAAGAATGACTGATGAATATTACTTTTGTTGATATACCCAGCTTTGGTCCTTAAAGTGCTAAACTGTGTTTTCTAACTCAGAGAGAAATCATGATCCCTAAGAGGGAATTTAAAGCGGTAGAATTATTGTGATTTTCTGTTGTCAGTCAGCATTCAGGTGAATTTCTCTCAGGAAGGTTATTTTCTAAGAGATTTCCCTGAAGTCCTCCCTTTAAGAATTTAAGATGGGAAAAAAAGTCAAGGAATCTGTTTTCTTGCGTTTAAGTTCTTGCTTTCATTATTATTAAGTACATGTCGAAGAAATTATTGTATTAATTTGGGATTTTCAAATTTCAAAGGAGGATGTGTTTTTATCTTCTTTGGAACCCTGAGCTGATGCAGTTCTTTTTTCATTATTTATTATTTTCTGAGCTTTCATCTTGCATTGCTGAGTTAGCTTCTGGTTTGTTTGCCTTAAATATATGATTTTGTTTTTTTTTTAGGTTTATGCACTTGTGTTTTAATTGAAGGACTAAATAGCGAAAAGAATCATGCATCATTTAACACCCGTCGGCTTCTGTAGAAGAACCCAAACGCAGCTAAACTCATTGTAAAAGTTTCACTTATTTGAAACATTGAAAGAAAATCCTATCATTCAAGATGTATCGTTCAAAATTATTGGAGACCACATCTGTTTTCTTCCTGGCGGTATTGTATCTGCCAAAGTTCAAGCTTGTTTCATGTGTTTTTTTGTGATAAATGTGTTTTTATCCCCCTAGTTGTATGGAATCCAATGCAGTTCATCTTCAAATGAAATTTTATGTTCCATGGTTGCTTAATTTTAATTTGCAGAACTGATGCAATATATTTATTATTTGCACATGCTACAATTGCTATCACTGCAGTCTGTTTAATACTCCTCCAACAAAGCCTGGATTTTCTCTGGTTGTTTGAAAATGCTGCAGAGTTAGGCGACAGTTTAATATTTCTTTGAAGCCTGTCCAACTAGCAACTAGGCAGACTTCAAAACAGTGTTTCTATCAGAGTGGTTCTTTCCATCAGTGTGAAGATTTGGCTTTTTCCATTTGTTGCTGTTTGAGTTGTACAAAAAAAGCTTAAAAATAGGAAAATAATTTTGCCTTTTTAGGTAAATTCACACACAAATGGTCAACTGTCATTGCAGGTGAAAGTGACGTTTTAAAGTTCAAGTCTAACATTACAACAAGCCACACCATCACTCTGACATGGGAACGCTACCAAGTCCCTGACCACGGAGACCTCATCAGCTTCATAGTCTACTACCAGGAGTCGTAAGTGCTCAGCCATCACTTCCAATCTGAAGATAATCTCTTAAGCATGCCATTTTCTGAAAGAACAACCGCTTGGAGCAGTAATTAAGATCAAATTATACTTTCTATACATCCGTTTTGAAGATGCAAAACTTTCTGTATCTGTACATATACCTTATCCAGAACTCCTCAAGTGGCAGTTTTCTCTTCACCTTGATCAAATTTTGTAAATATAAATCTCCTATTAAGCACCTTTGTCTTTCCAAAGTTGTCAAAAAATGAATCCATGAGCATTAGTTGCAGCCATACCCTCATCACATTGTGCATAATTTTTATGTTAGTTTATATGCAAATATAAGAAAAGGCAAACCTTGATTCATTAGAAGTTCTTCTAAAGGGTTATTTTTATGCATAAATTAGATGAACTCTCGTTAGTTTGCTGGCTAATCAAGCACAATAATACAATGGTTGTTAAAGCAGGTATTGGTATTTTTTTTTTCTTCCACTAACTTTTTATTGGCTTAGATATAGCTCTGTGTAAAAAGCAAGCTTTCTTATTAATCGCCTTTTGTGCTTTGCTCTACTTATGATGAGTGTCCATCAAACTGTAACCGTAGAGCAGGGGTGGGCAACTCCAGTCCTTGAGGGCCAGTTTCCTGAAACATTTAGATGCATATTTGGTACAACATACCTGAACCAAATGGTTCAGGTGTATATGCAGTAAATTTCTCCAGAGTCCTTTTAATTATCTATTTACTTGATTCAGGTGTGTTAAGTCAAGGACATCTTTAAGTTCCAGGACACAGGTCCTCCAGGACTGGAGTTTCCCACCCCTGCTGTAGAGGCACCAATATCCCTTATGATAAAGTGGCTAATAACACAGTGATCAGTACAACATTTCTATATTAACATGGCTTTTGTTTATCATCTTGTATTCAACTTTTCTTAGAAACAAAAGCATAGATGATCAAATTAAGCAGACTCACACAGTACAAGTATATTGTATTTATAGTAGTAGTTTGATTCCTATTATGTTTAACAAAGCACGGTATAAGTATGCCATATAGATCAGGTATCATTTTAATCTGTCTAAATATTATCCTTTGCCATGCAGAATCACTCCCCTCAGGATGCTGAATGCTTGGAGCCGCTGCAGCAGGACTCTACCGTGCTTCACATTTTAAATTAATGCAGCTGGCATTTATAATGTCTATAGAGCATTAAATGTTTTCATCAGTTAGACGGAGGATCATTAAATGTGGAAACAAAATGAAACTATGATGCAAAGCTTCCTTTCACAGTAGCACACTGTATGTTTTTTAGCCCTAATTCAAATACACATGTGCTTTAAACCAAACAGGAACAAATCATAATACATAATTCATATATATGTCATGAGGATTGCATAATGATTAGAACTGAAACCTTTTTTTTTTTTGCCCAATTGATCCTTTTTCAGGCCCTTCCAGAACATCACACAGTTTGATGGCCAGGATGGCTGTGGCTCCAACACCTGGCACATGGTGGATGTAGACCTTCCTCATGACCAAAATGATCCCAAATTTACTCTTCAACATCTCAAGCCTTGGACCCAGTATGCGATTTATGTGAAAGCCACCACTCTGCAGATGAAGGACGAACACATTTCTGGGGCAAAGAGCGATATAATTTATATCCGCACGCGACCATCATGTGAGTCTAAACTGCCATCTTTTTTTCACCGTTTTGTGTTCAAAGCTGTTTAACACACCATGGCTCTTTTTTTTTTTTTTTTCAGTGCCATCCATGCCCAATGATCCCCGTGCTTATGCCAACTCTTCAACTAAATTGGTAGTGAAGTGGTCACCTCCAGTGTTTCCCAATGGAAATCAAATTTACTACCTGGTTCGCTGGCAGCGGCAGCCTGAAGACAGGGAATTCTATCACCATGACTACTGCTCTAAAGGTTATTAGATTTAATTATCATGAAAATATATACATTTATTGTGTATAAACAATACTTGAATGCTGCCATTCACTAAAGCATATGTTTTCCTACACTTTTTTCTTTTTTTTTTAACAGATCTGAAGTTACCAATCCGGAGCCCATCATTAGGGCCTTTAGAGGAGAAAGATAACCCAAACCCACCGAAGGTTACCCTTCCAGGGGAAACAAAGGGTCTCTGTTGTACTTGCCAGAAGACAGCCGAAGAGAAGGAGCGGGAGAAGCATGACCGCTACTTTTTAAAAGTTTTTGAGAACTTCCTCCATAATACCATCTTTCTCCCAAGGTATGGTAACGTTTTTAGGGTTCAAGGCAAAAATGGTTGCCGTTTATTGTATTGTTAATCGTTTTTTGGGGTAAACTTACTACTGCTACTAATGTCAAGTATTGTGATTTATTGTTTAAACAATACATTACCATAAGTGATGATGAAAAAGTCAGAAATCATTTTAAATCAGTTTATTTTTCTCCTTTTATTATTTTTTTTTTCTATTGCCTTATCAAATTCAAAGAATATGATTAAATGCTGTAAATACAGAATATTTAGTGATATAAATCATACTTCTTTAAATAACTGGTTCCTTGGAGAAGCCTGTTTAAATTAATATTAATAAGAGTGTGATTGTGGGGATTGTGTGTTGTGATTAGTGTGACATGCAGGCACAACTATTCAGTTACCTAAGAACGACTACGAAGAATAAATTAAGTGTTTTTAATTGTCAATTTTATTATTCCCAAAAAAATATGGCGATAGGTTATTAAGGACATATTCCCCAGCCCCAATAGTTATTTAGTTTTAGGGGCAGACATACTAATTTGACTGACAGATCCTTTTAGTCACATGCTCAAATTGAGAGGAAATACATTTGATTTGAGAAAATTCAGGAATGGCTCATGGTTTCACAAGCCAACCCTCAGAGAACCGATTTAAAGCCACAATCTTTGCCTGCATTCTTAAAGCTGTGGTCTCTGCACCAGCGACTAACAATCGACTATTTGTCAGAATGAAGCCCTGCTCATATCTTCCTCCCCCCACTTCACACATACCTGCTAAAACTGATGTAAATAATCACCAGGTTTTTTTTTTCTGCACCTCTTGCCGGAGGTACAGTATTAAGTCATGAAGCATTCATATAATTTTACTATTTACAGAATTTATTATTTGTCACATTTAAGTGTTCTCAGACAGCATTTTTTTTTTACTTAATCGAGGAGGGTTTTTTTTTCTTCTCTTTTTCGTATGTAGATTCCAGGCGGGGAAAGAGACTGTCCATAAAAACAGGAACAGAAAGAACAGGAAATATTTTCCATCTTGTCCCTACCACCTCCTTCCCCTCCAATCCACAGCTTCTTCTGGATGCTCTTTTTGTTTTGTTTCTTTTTTTCTGAAGCAGGACAGCTGCCAGGATATGTACAGTGAGCCCATCTGGAATATAAATGAAAGGGGGAATAGCCCCACCAGTACTAGAAGGAAGATATAGAGTAAAGCAGCATTACCAGACTACAGGAGGGGAGAAAGACGGGTGGAAGACGCCATGTCTGCTTTAGAGACCTCAAGGACCTGTCATCTGCAGACAGGAGCTTTTAGTTATTGTAATCACCTGTTGTAGTTCCTAATGATGAATAGAAAGTGATAAATTGATAGAAATTTCCTGGATGCTGTCACATTTAATTTGCTCTGCTATTTGGAGACTTAACGTGTAGTCATGACTCGCTTGTCTGGACTTTGCTGTTTAAATCTTTCACTTTATTTTTTTATATAAGCCTTAGTGGATAATATCAACTTTTGTAACTTTCTCCTTTAAAATTAGCAGATTAATCAATCAAAAAGTCTTCCTTAATCAAGCTTTGCTTCATCTCTGCTGTCACCAGTCAGAAATATTTAACATTTGGTTTCGATGCCCTGCTGTATCTCTAGTGTGACTGCTGGTGCTGCGTTCACAGCTGTCACCGCCTCACTAGTGATGATGTGCAGTTCCAGGAGCAGCTTATTATCTAAACTCTGACAACAAGAGCCAAAAATGTGTAACATCCTCTTTGCCACTGAGCCATGGTAGTTATGAGTGAGGAATTTCTCTTGTCTGGACAGTTTCCTTAGGCTGTTTTTACTGTTCATTGTAATGCGCCCCGCAGGAGCTTTTTCACTCCTGTATTTTTTTTCTTCTTTTTTTTTTTCTATAATGTGGAAACTGTATTTTTTTCCTTCCGCTGTCTCTGTCTGTCCACTTTGCAATGTTCTGTCTGACCTCATTTATTACACTCCATAGCATCTGGGCTTAAGGCAGACACAAACACAAACATCTGCACACTCAGTCTCCTGCAGGCGTTTTTTTCCCCCTACAGTGGGCCTAAAACATTAGCGGCTATGTATTGTCGCATAGTGACAATTTGAAAAGTATATGGTCTAACTTTTAGTTTTTTATTGCCCAGGACAGTATCTCATTGCACATTTTGTTCCCTCGTTTCAGACCTCCAGACCGTCGCCGCAGAGACCTTTTTGGTCTTGCTAACCACACTCAGTTTCATGATGACGGTCAAGGCAATATCACCTTGGGCTCAGGGGAGAACAGCACAGACGGCATCCCTCCTGTCAATGAGTACCCCTTCAATGATGACAGAACTTCTGCAGAATATTTAGAAATCCCCAACCTGCGACCTTTCACTACGTACCTTATTGAGATCCACGCCTGCAACGAGCAGCTGGGCTTCAACTGCAGTGTTGGAGCTTTTGTCTTCTCCCGGACAAAACCTGCTGGTATGGAAAAAGGAAAAAATATACCCCATGATTTCTTTTCTCTTACATTAAGATATTTATGTTATCATCTTGTGTGTGTAATTGTTTTTGGCAGCCAAAGCAGATGACATTCCTGGGAAGGTTATCTATGAAATGTGTGACAACACTGACGGCTGTGTGGTGTTGCATTGGCCACAGCCTCTCATGCCTAATGGACTTATACTGATGTATGAGATCAAGTACCGCCTGGGGAATGAGGTAATACTGGCAGGGTCTAATTACAGATCCTCTCTTTATATTTTATATGTCTACACTTTATTTACTGTATGTACACCTGCAGCTACATTTAGTGGAACCTTTGGTAGAGACGTGTTAAAAGCTTTTAAATAAAGCTCTTAGTCTTCTCCTATAGCATTTCACAAGGTTGGAGAGTGAGTGTTATTTTACCATTCCTCTTTGCAAGATGTATTTTTTTTTTATGTCATCCAGAGTTGCCCAGGTTCCATTTATAGTTTGTGTGAGGGGGCCACCAGATTGTATTTCAAATCACTATCTGTCTCAGAGTGTTTCACGATGCTGTGAACTTAGAGGTATAGTGGAGGATGTTCTTCTGCTAGTGGATCCTCAAAATAAATGGTCCTCCTAATTGTCAATCTTTCTGGTAATATGTTTACATAAGGCGTCCTACGTGCTTGTCTCCATTTTCACTTACCGGTGGTGGGTCTGACCTAGTGGAACAATTACAAATCTTTATTTGGAAATAAGCGTGTATGAGTGATGCAAATGGCAACTTTTAAACAGAGCGTTCCCTCTCAGGAGCAGGTACAGGGTTGTGAATTTGCTGGGGGGTTTTTTAAGTGGAGAGGGCGAGTCCTTTCAAAAATTCTTGAAAATCCTCCTTTATACCTTTAACTGGCAGCATCACACACGGCACACGCTCAACCTCCCTAACAGTGCACATCAAATGCTTTATTTAGATTTACCAGGTATTTATCAGACATTACTTCTAACATCTGGTAATTATGTAGATGACCTCTGGTAGTTTCTGTTGAGCTTTGATCAGAAAGCTACAGCAAAAATAAGGAATTTGGACCACTTTTTGTTCTAGTTTTAAAAGAAATGACTTTAAGTCACTTAATTTTTATACTCTAGAGCAGCGGTCACCAACCTTTTTACAGTTGAGGGCTATTTCAGGGGCACTGAGTCACAGGAAGGGCTACCAATACTGACCTATGAATTGCAAGGGTCAATCTTTATCATTTCTTTAAATTTCTAATTTTCTTTTAGACACTTTCATTTTAAAAACTCTATAAATGCTTAAATGCCATATATGATTAAATGATGAAATGTTCTATAACTGATTAAAAAAGAAAAGCAACAGAATACAATGAAATTTCAAACGTTGCTCACTGTTGAGTTGTTCTATTTTCAGAAGACTCTAAAGGCACCCCTTGTGGTCCTTGGGGGCCCCTTGGTTCCCGCGGGTACCATGTTGGTGACCCCTGCTCTGGAGAAACCTTTTTTAAGAACTTCTTATAAATTTCTTATTAGAGGTTCTAAAAACATTCAATCACCTTTAAGGAAGCAAAGAATAACATAAACAATGGTTCTTTTTCATTTATTATAATAGGACTACTAGTGCTACAGATAACGTTTCTCTTACTAAATAGAATGTTTCTACATTTTTGTCTGTGGGAAATCTAGCTCTCTTCAGTAAAAGCTGACTTTTGTATAAGATATTTCAGACATCTGTAACTGGGTTGATGATAAATATGACAGTGTATACAATACAGATATATAAATAATAATAAATATGATTTGTCAAAAAAGTTCTTTCTTTCAAACAGAGAACATCAACAAGGATATAAATCGTAACAAAATCACAAGATTAAGCCTGTGTAACCTTAGCTGATTAGAAACTTGGCAACAATTTGTCCTCCTTTAAACTCTGCATAGTAGAGAATAAAATAACTCTAAATAAATGCATATTATTTGAAATAAAGATTACCAAAATTATATTCTGCATGCAAAGTATTATCAAAGCTTTAAAGGCTTAGAACGAGTTGAGCTTTGTTTTAACAGCAGTAATCACTGTTTATTTCTTTTCTTCCAGCCTGAGAAACACAAGTGTGTGTCACGTCGGCAGTACCACGAATATAAAGGATTTCGTCTGACCATCTTGAGCCCGGGAAACTACTCTGCTCGCGTGAGGGCCACATCTCTGGCAGGAAATGGCTCATGGACGGAAAGCATCTCCTTCTACGTTCCTCCACCTAAACGTAAAGCAACACTAACGCATGTTTAAATTGTGTGGAGAGACTTTAAATGTGCTAATGCATCTCACTGTGGTAGATAATACTGAGAAAGTTAATTTCATTTAAGTAAATTAAAATCATAAACATTTTTATAACAATTACATAGTTATATATCTTTGCCATGTTTTAATTGTAATTTAGATGATTGTTTTAGCGTAACACTAATTGAAAACCAGAAGCCAGTTCCTCAGAAAATAAGATCCACCGAAATAGATTTTTGATAAGAAAAAGTTAAACCCTACAGTTATGCAGGTAATGTTCATTCTCCACAAGGAGTAAACCCTTATTTCAGAAACTGGCTCCTACTGTGCATTTACTTTTCTATTTTACTGAAATAAAGGGAAAATCTTTTAATGATGAATCAATTATCACTTACGGTAAATTATTGTTTCTGGTTCTTTCTCCCAGGAGAGGATTTTGCGACGCTCTACTTGGTCATCCTCGTTCCCATCATAGTGACTCTTCTCATCGCCAGTCTTACCACCGTTCTCATCTTCATCAACAAAAAGAGGCAAGTAGTTGCACTGATTAACTTTGCGATGCTCATGAAGCTTAATGGAGAGTGTAATGTTATTTAGAGTTAATGGGTGTTTTCATTTAGACACCCCTTTGGGGGAGAGGAGACATCCTGTTGAGGACTAAATATTGCATCTGAAACTACAGCTTACTTGTCGGTTTACTAAGCTGGGCTTGTGCTTTCAGGAACAACAACAGACTTGGGAATGGAGTTCTCTATGCATCCGTCAACCCAGAGTACATCAGCGCAGCTGAGAGTAAGAATGTCAAACCTCTTTTCCCGCCTCCCTGCTGCTCTGTTTGGATGTTTGAGCATGATGGGTTGACCCTGCATATGTTTTTCGCTGCGGTAGTGTACACTCCGGATGAGTGGGAGGTGGCCAGGGAAAAGATCACCATGCACAAGGAGCTGGGGCAGGGCTCTTTCGGCATGGTGTACGAAGGCACCGCGAAAGGCGTAGTCAAGGATGAACCTGAGACACGAGTGGCGATCAAAACGGTGAACGAGTCGGCGAGCATGCGGGAGCGGATAGAGTTTCTGAATGAGGCGTCTGTGATGAAAGAGTTCAACTGTCATCATGTGGTAAGATGGATTTATGATTAAGCAGCAAAGAAAAAAAACACACCAATAAATGGCTCAAAATATCCTCATAATGGATCGCCAAATGACGCAGTGTTCACCATTATCAAGACTTTCTCATTTTTTTTTAACATACACAAATAGAGCAGAGGGGTTTTAATGCAGGCAGCTGTAGCCTGAGATAAAGGCAGTGCCTCCTGGGGATTCTTTACATGCTCACATCCGTGTAATCCTGGCCTCATTAACTTCTTTTAATGGAAGTGGTAAAGATCCCCATTTTTTTTAGAAATCTGCTCCTATAGATTTTCTGTCATCTCACTGATAAAAGGGGAAGCACTCCATACTTAAAATCTCTTTAAATTATATGTCTGTTTTTCCTTTATTGATATTCAAAGCAAGTTAAAAATAGTGGGCTTATTACCACACTTTTTAGTCTTTAACTTGATCATTTTTCTGCATTTTTTCAGCCGTTTTATTTCCTATTTTAATTAATGCAGGTGCGGCTGCTGGGCGTGGTCTCTCAGGGACAACCTACTTTGGTTATCATGGAGCTGATGACTCGTGGAGATCTCAAGAGTCACTTGCGCTCTGTGCGCAATGAAGTAAGTATTTACCTACTTCCTTCCTTCCTTCCTTCCTTCCTTCCTTCCTTCCTTCCTTCCTTCCTTCCTTCCTTCCTTCCAAAACATATATAAATGCAGAGTAACGATCAAAAACCAAAATAATATTATGAAAAGATATTATGAAATACATATGAATAATAATAATAATTGTTCTAAATAAATTTTTCTGTTGCATCTCAATAATAACTGTAAAGCCAACATTCTCAAGCAACTTGTTTGAAATTTTGATTCTGTAAATTTACCTTCCATGGCTTGTGTAGTTTGATCATCATGCCCACCGATACCGAATAAAACATTTTATACCTTACTTAATTAGCGATATAGCTTTAATAATAAACCCGAATTCAATCTTCAATCAGGGCAATTGAATATACATCACTTTGACAAAACTTATACAGGCACAGTGTAAAGCAGGCTCTGTTGTCCCAACCACACCGATAAAAAGTCATCTAACTAAGAAAACCGGGATTTAATTAGATAAATAACTTTACTCGGTTTCAAATACAAACACATTTTCCAGAAAATGCGTTAAATGTAAACTTTAAATTGAGAAATAAATAAAGAGATTTATAAATAATTTTGATCACTTTGTTATTGCAGTGATGTTAGTTCATTTACAGCCCCCAAAAAGTATTCACACCTGGTTATATTGCCACAATAAAATCACCATTTGATTTTTTTTTTTTAGAGCACATATGATTAACAGATAAAGTTACTGTGCAAATTTAAAGTGAGGTTTTCTCAATAATATCCTGAGCTCTGAAGATCTAAAAGACCATGTATAAAATGTTTTTAATGTTTTACACAACAGTCTGATTGAATGGATAAAACCAATTTGTTTAAAAGCATAGAGGACAACATATAAAGGATCTTAATCTTCTCATCTTCCTGTGCAACAGAACACCAACTCTCAGACGTTGCCGCCTCTAAAGAAGATGATCCAGATGACAGGCGAGATCGCAGATGGCATGGCTTACCTTAACGCTAACAAGTTTGTCCATAGAGACCTGGCTGCCAGAAACTGCATGGTAGCAGAGGATTTCACAGTGAAGATTGGAGGTGAGTTTTATATCTGTTCTTCCTCTTCCAGGTTATCTAAGGCTACGTTCACACTGCAGGCCTTAATGCTTAATTCAGAGTTCTTGGTGAAATCCAAATTTTTTTTTTTTGCGCTGCCGTTCACATTTCCTAATATATGCGATTTGTATGTGATTTCCTGTGTGAACTGCATTTATACAGCTTAATTGTCCCGCATGCGCAATAGAGGACGCAATGACGTCACAAGCAAGCGTGCTCTGTGTTTACGAAAGTAAACATGGATGGTTGCGCTGGACCTGGCGTAGCGATCTTTCCTAACCTTAGAAGCTCAATCTTTTTAAGATGGTAAAAAAAAAATAAACGCTCTCTGCATTATCGTCCGACATGGTTGTTATTTTTCTACCCGCTTCTGCGTAGAAAGATGCAGAATAGTGAAATTGAAGAGTATTAATGACGGTCAGGTCAGATGAATGCGACCTGGTCGTTCACACACAGGTTGCATTTGAAAAGATCAGATTCGTATCAGATTCAGGACAACATAGCCAAATGGCCTGGGTCACATTGGAAAAAATCCGATCTGTTGTTCAGACTACCATGAAAAGATCAGATACTGGTGGCATATGGGCAAAAAAAATCTGATTTGGGTTTCAGGGTGGTGTGTAAACGTAGCATAAAATTGACTCTGCAACAGATTTTAGATACATAAAGAAGAAGGATTTGACTGGGAAAATTTGAGCTTTCAGGAGTTTCTTCTCCCACACAGAGTTAGATATATTTAGTGGCTCCCCCAACCTGTTTTCATTTCTTTTCCTTCAGATTTTGGCATGACCAGAGACATTTATGAGACGGATTACTATCGAAAAGGAGGGAAAGGCCTGCTGCCAGTTCGATGGATGTCCCCAGAGTCGCTGAAAGACGGCGTCTTCACTACAATGTCTGATGTCTGGTATGTGAACACACTACTTAGACAAACACAGAGGCCTACATTGCACATGTATGAACCTGTTTCAATTCAGGGGCTTTAAACTGCCCGCATAGTTTCTCTTTGTGTTGGATAATGCTCTAAACCCGTTCATGCTGTGGGGTCACAACTGTATAAACCTACAGATCATTTCACAGCCAGGATTCTTTACAAGGTTTTCACTCAACAGTTTGAACATAAGTTTCATGCCAAAACAGATAGCATTTCCAAATACTAAATTGTATTTTCTTTTTTTGGAGATTTGGATTGCTGACTCGCCTCTTGTAAATTTCTTCCCCTCTACAAAATGTTATTTTCTTTTTTCCTTCCTTGCTTAGTTTTTTTGAGCCTACAGCTATCTCCTATTTTTCCACTACCTTTTTAGCTGTCAGTTTACTAGCTCCCCTGCAAGTTTTTGTACCCCAACTCAAAAGTGTCCCACAGATTAGTTTATGAAAGCGGGTGTAAACTACTCCAGATGTTCACAAATAAGTGCTTGGTTTTACACCACAAACCCACCTTCCCATCTTCTGTACTACATCCTGTTTCTTTGATGTTAATGTTTAGTGTGAGAGGAACCAATTATGGGCTTCATGAGCACTGTGTTAATCAGGAAAAATAACCAACCTCCCCAAACACATTGTGTGTTGTAATCCAGTTGATCAGAGGGAGTTTTGTAAAAATGTATCAAGGGTAAATAGATATTATCCAACAAAAACATTTGCTTTTTTTAAATAATTTGTATATTTATTTACATAGCACATATACTTTTAAAGTCGCAGTGTTTGCAAAATAAAGCACAGAAATATGCTAAAAGTTGAAACGACATAAATCTAGAGATTCGCAAAGAAAAACATTAAAACAGCCATAATTCTCCTAAGGTAAAATTGGTTTCTTTTTTTTGTGAGACCCAGGTTGTTGGCAGTTTTCACCCTATCAGTGCCTTATGCTAGTCAAGCAAGTGATTAACAGGTGATTTGTTGAAATATAAGGGCTTAAAAGAATAGGATTTGTAAATGCCATACTCAAAAAGACTAAAACAATGGATAAATATCTTTCATGAAATAAGTTTCTCAAAAAAAAACAAAACAAAACAAAAAAGAATACCCTGGGACACCAAAAATCACACCCTAGACACAGGGGTATACTCATATCTATATTCCAAACACAATAGAGACAAAAAGAGCAAAAATTGCACAAAATAATACACAAAAGAAAATAAAAGTATAAAAAGTCCCCAAAAATCCACACAACACGCGTGTCCACAAGTGTCTCAAAAACCGGCGCATAAAAACAAAACACAGAATAAAACCCACACAAAAAAAAAAAAAAAAAAAAAAAAAAAAAATGCAAATCCGAAAAAAAAACAGTGTTAAATACTATTTGTCTGAGTCACACAACCACATATCTGGACTGTGCACTTGGAGCATTTTATGGAATGACTGTAATATTTTCCACTAGTGGGAATAAATTGACCAATTATTTGTTCTGAATGACCAGAACTGCAAATATACAAAATTTTAAAGAGGTAAAATGAGAAATATATAATTAATTTAAAAAGTAGATTAAATTAAACCCTTGTATTTTGATGACACTTTTTGTGAACAGTCCATATTTAAGCTTTTCTTGGAGTTTTTCCCTCATCCTTTCCTATTGACATGTTTCAGACTTATAGGTATCTCAGATTGTCTGACGCAAACAGAGAATATCACTTTATTTTGTTTGCAACATGTCAAACAGGCTTCAGACCAACAGTGTCAATATCATGACGTAATGCATGTAGACTCGTTATATCAAGCAAACTAGATACCCTTGGAGGAATACTTGAGTCAGTGACTGATGTAGGAGTGAGGATAAACATGGGAATAACTTTGCTCCAAGTATACATAAGGTCAATGGCTTTGTATTTTAAGATATATATTTTGCTTTAATAAATAGTTGAGAAAAACTCTTTGACTGGTTTAGAGGGTAATCAGTATCTTAACTAGAGGAAATAGCTACTGTCTCCACTTGAATCAACGACTGGTTTGTTTGTGCCTGTTTGTCAGATTGCCTTGATTACCGGTAAAAGATTTCTGCTATTATAAAAACAAACAAAAACACCCACTACAGGTCAGAGCATTTTACTGTATGTGAGTTTTAATGAGAATGTAGAGAACTGCAATGCTTCTCAAGCTCATGTTAATCATACACTGCAAAAGAAATTCTTAAATTGTGTATTTATCCTTAATTTAAGTAGGTAAATAAGATGGTTTCCCAGTGGAATGAGTATTTTTACTCTTAAATTAAAATAACTAGATGATATGCATGAAATAAGACAATGCCATTGTTCTTTTTCTTTGTTTAAATGTAAATTGTCATGTTCTATAGACAAAGAGTCTCACAAACCTCCTCAATTCAAGAAAAAATGCACTTATTTTGAGAAATTCTATTTTTTTGCATTGTAGAATTTAAACTTTTGGGATGATTTGCAATTTAGACTCTATTATCAAAGCCTTCAGCTTCATTGTTTTTTTTTTTCCCGCTGCGATTCTGCAGGTCATTTGGTGTTGTGCTGTGGGAGATCACCACCTTAGCTGAACAGCCTTACCAGGGCATGTCCAATGAACAAGTACTGCGCTTTGTCATGGAAGGGGGACTCCTGGAGAAGCCCGACAACTGCCCGGACATGCTGTAAGTCTTGTTATTAAAACCATAAACTGCACCCTCTCCTGACGGCTCAATATTTTAACTCGCAGCTATTTTAGGTTAAGCTGTTAGGGTAAGGGATACTGTGTGCATACACTGTGGTGAGGGCTGACATTAACGTCACTGGTTAAATGCAGTCGCCTGACTGCATGACTAAAATGTTCAGCTGGCGGTGGGGAGCCTCCTCACTCGTCAATATCGGCCCATAGAAGGAATGCCACAACCTGTGTGAAAGATGTCACTCGATCCAACTGTGGGAATCGTTATAGAGGAACGAGGCAACAAGAATAAGGACATCAGAAGGGCTAAATATATTTATAATTTATAAATGTAAATATTGATGATTGCAGATGATTTTTCATCCTGTGGAGCTCCATATACTGTAGCCCTTCTTTGACTTGATAAGAAGGTATTCTTTGTCCCGCTCCCCATGGCTGACCTCACCTTAAAAAGAGCGTGAGCAGAACAGAAATTAGGGCTCAGTGTTGTGCGAGCACAAACCTCTGGTTTCTATGGCAACATCAACAGTTTTGTCCTGATTACAGGAGCGTGTGGACTGTGTTACAGAGGTGACGCAGGGGGAAGGGCTTAGTATTTTTTTTCAACTTTGAGTGGAGTCAGGCTTTGGTCTGAAGATTTAAAGAAGCTTCAGGCAGACTGCTGAAGTTTCGACAAAGTTGGTTAATAGAGGAGATAACACAAAGTGGAAATAAGGGGAAGAACACAGTAAGATGAGTCATATTTCGATGTTTTTCAATGTCTCTTTTCAATAAGGAGATGTGAGTCACAGAGGTTCCCTACAGAATAGAGCTGTTTCTTTCAGATATGGAATTTGCTGGTCACATTTAATGGCAGTTATGTTAGGAGATAACCTAAAAACCCTCAAATTAAACAGTTTACATTGCAAAAGCATAACCTTGCATTTACAGTATTTAGAGAAATCCAACATTTTATACAGGGTATTCCAGAACCAAAGCTTGCTGTTGCAGAGCTGCAGCAACAACTGTTAGATATGATCTACATGCATATAAATTGTTTAGCAATGCTTACAAAAAAAAGTCTTTTCTGTTCTAGCGTTACCTAATGCAGTTTACTAAACTTTACTGGAATTTTAATTTGCCCTTTGATATTTTGTCAAGTGGGGCCCAAATGAAGCTTTCTGCCACAAACATTCCAGGTGAGTTTGGCATGAAAGAGGATTAAAAGCACCTCATGCCTATTGTGGGGAAAGCTGGACAATTTGTGATGCAGTGGACCTATCTGTCTTTTAAAAAATAGCATAAAATCTGTGGGCTGAGCTGAACAGAGGAGAGCACATACTGTATAAAGACATTGGACTTGAGACATAAGTTGTATTTTAATTGACCATCAAATTGACCAAACTGTAATTATGAAATTAAATGTGCTAAATGGAAACACCACAATAAAAAAAAAGAATCACATTTTCGCGATAAAAACTGTTAAAACTTTGTTGAGGTGCTTTTTTCCGGTCGTATTGAAATGATTATATTTCCTGCAATGGAAACACGTTTTTCCGTTTTTTCACATCACTCAAGTGACTTGACCTGCAGTCTGCAGTCTGTAGAAGACCGGAAGTAGTTGGAGGATGATGGCGCCCACTAGAGCCATGGCTGAAATATGGATATATCTCATGTTTTTACCACCGAGAGAACGAACATATACATGCCCAATTTTAATTTTAATTTATTTTATTTAAATACTGCGTTGTGGAACTTTGCATATTCCAATTTAGCATAAAATCAACATAGTTTTTTGCAAATCTCTAATGGAAACACGGCTACTATGTAAAGAGGAATGGCCAAAGACCTCTCTGTCTATAATGTTTAACCTTGTAGGAAAATGCAATTTGATGTTCTAAATAATGTTAAACTAAATGATAACAGTGAGAGCAGAAATAGTTGTGATAATTATTTATGTGCCTTCAAGAGATCAACCTATACAGTTTTTTTTTTTGTTTTTTTTGTTTTTTATTGATACAGGTTATTATAAAAGCTATTTTACCAATCCCTGATATATATAGCTGATTTTTTTGGGATGATTTAACCCACCACACAGCCTCTTACTGCACTTGCAAAAAGTGTTGCATAGTTGGAATCTGAAAAGATCAGACCCTAAGTATTTTATTGGTGACAGCAGTTTCAAATATGCATCACTTCTACTGTGTTATTTGACCAGCATCTGAAATGTAACACCAGTTCAGATGAGAGCTGATAAACCTTGTTGAGGGATTTCAGGATGGTAATGGATACTAGGCTAGAGCTAAACAGAACATTAAAGGAAGTAAATAGTAAAGTATAGGGTAGCTGAGGCTGTATGAACATGGCATATACAGTCAAAACTCATCTCCAGTTTGGACAGGTTAGAAGTGAACTTATATTAATAGAATGAATGACTAGATACTGACAAGAAGTCAGTTCTTTATTCTGTTTTGTAATTATTATCAACAAGTGTACTGGAAACCAGATGTTTGGCAAAGCAGAGGGTTACTGTGGTGTGTCAGCACAGCTGAAAGTATTAGATTTCTTTTCATTAGAACTCTGCTGTGTGGGTTTGAACATATATCAATTTTAGGACAGTTCTTGCAATATTTAAAAAAACAGACAAACAAAAAAAAAAGTTAGCACTCCCTCTGCTGCTCCAGAATGATAAGTAAAACTGGCACTAAGGCAACCCTCAGATTTCTCTGGGAGGAGAACAGCTGGCATCTAGCTGCAGGACTGATTCTGAACGCCAAGGAGGCCTCAAGGAGAGAAGAAAAACAAGACTGAGGGGGGAACAGCGGTAACAGAACCCAAGATGGCTGAGGTGTTTATGTCAGTGAGCCTTAGAGAGTATTCTTAGCTTGTTTGTGTATAATTGAAGTTGTGGCATGTGGTGAAGAACCACACAAAACTGTAATAATTCTCTCTTTTTATGGTGTTGTTTTGACATTCCCAAAGCTTGGTTGCTGGCATGGCTCAGTAACCTGCATTTTAGCTGAGTCCATTTTACATACAGTAGCATGCAAATTTCTAATCTTTGAAAAAGTCATAAAGTTAATTCATCAATTTAGAGGGAGTTTCTCAATAGGTTTCAAAGATTAGTCTTTGTTCACAGTTGTACATTCAAATTTTGGGGGGAGAGGAGACATTATTAACCAATATTAAGTTATTAGGCAACTTAAAAAAATACAGGTGTAGAAGTGATCTGACATCCTTGTTGCATTCCGGCCTTACATCCATGTAATATTAGACAAAAAGACTGCAGCTCAGCCTGTTTATGTAGCTCAAAAATGTTATTCTTTTAATTACAATTCTAATATTTTGTGTGTTATACCTTTAAAGTCCAAAAACAGAAGTGAATAGAGCTTAAATGTCAAAAGAGGCAAAAAATTTGAGTCTATCCTGCCATCTGCTGGTCATAAAAGGAAGTGTTATGGTGTTACAATGCTGGCTGTGATGTGCCTCTCCATTAACCGTTGCAGTGCAAGTTTTTCCTTAACAAGAGCTAGATCTAGGTCACTAAAATTAGTTCCATCTTCCAAGCATAAGTTGCTGCATCCTGAAATCTTTTAACAAACTTAATGATTTTTCTTTTTCACAGAGGATTCAAAATCATACTTTGAAAACTGAATTTTGTATTTAATTAAGCTTTCCTTTCTGAAATACTATTTTCTTAATAATATAAAAGCTTTAAGCATTACAATAAATATGTTTTTTGTTCTTTAAAATTCAAAATTTAAACGCTGACGCTTGAAATAATTATGATGTTAATAACTTACCCACAGGTTTGAGCTGATGAGGATGTGTTGGCAGTACAACCCCAAGATGCGTCCGTCCTTCCAGGAGATCATCAACAGCATCAAAGACGATCTGGATCCCCACTTCCGGGAAGTAAGCTTCTTCTACAGTGAGGAGAACAAACCGCCGGACATGGAGGAACTTGACATGGAGGTGGAGAACATGGAGAACATTCCACTGGACCCTGTATCTACAAGGCAGCCGCCTACTGCTGCCGTTCCACCTTCTGGGTGCATGGGAAGCAGGTCACCTCCTCCCTCGCAGCAGTTATCTCCCTTGCAAGGCCCAAGTACGCCCCTATTAGGGTCTGTGTCCCATTCGCCACCGGGCCCTCTGGCCACAGCTTTGACGTCTTCAGGGCACGGCTCAGACAAGCACTCAGAACATGCTTTGGCCAATGGACCTGTGGTTGTCCTGCAGCCAAACTTTGATGAGTTGGAGCCATATGCACACATGAATGGAGGCAGAAAGAATGAGCGGGCGTTACCGTTGCCCCAGTCATCAGCCTGCTGATATTGGTCCAGCACCTCTTCTTCCTCTCACACAGGGTAACTGAAACCTCACTTTCTCTTAAAAAGGATTGATGAGGTAAGACAATTACGTTTTCTCTACTGTGTGCCAGTAGATGGGCTCTCCACTATATTTCAGGTGTGGAAAGAAATACAGACTCTGAGAACTGTAAAACAGCACAGAAACCTGCTGAGGCACTGGGAGATTGGTGGCTCAGACACACTGGGGGACTCCTTTCTGCATAGTTACATACAAGCCCCTTCGAGAAGGAAAAAAACATAACGATGTATATTGGCACACAGACCTATACATGAACAGCAAGAAAAAAAGTCTTTTTAGCATATCTGCCAGCAAAACCAACAGAAGAGCACTTTTGTCCTGAGGATTTCACAGAGGATGATATGAAAATATTAAGTATCTATTCGTAGAATCCCATCATTCTCTCCAAAACACGGCAGAGCTCATTTTTTTTTTATGAAGCAGCCGGGTTCATGTTATGTGACAATGCCTCCCTTGAAAATAAGACTCTTTTAAATACTATTATTTCTATGTGATCCCTTGAGGTGTGGGTTCAATTGGTAAGCCTGTTTTTTATCTGCCAAACTTTTGCCAAATCAAACTTTTTCTTCAGTCTCCTAAAGGTGTCCTTTTTTGCTAAAAACTGTGATTCAGAGTTGAGGATCTTTCACTGCAATAACAAAACCGTATTTGGCGCAGAATTTTGGATGTTTTTGTAAAATTTAAATCCAAGGTGTACCACATTATGCTCGGTCATCACTGTGTATGGGGTGGAATAAATTTATAAGGTAGAGAACACATTTATTTGCACAAACAGAAGCCAGTCCAAAGATTTAAAGGTGGCAAGCCACAACTCTGATTTAGCATGACGTGGATGTCATTCCATATTATTAAACATTTGAAGTGACTTTTCACCCGTCTAGTTTCAAAACCGCAGGTCTAATCGGCTGAAAATACAGATTCTTGCGACCAACAATTAGACTAGAAAACATGTCATCACTCAAAGATGATCAAATAGCAAAACTTTTAACTACCAGACACATCCACAAAAAGAATAAAAGTCTGCTAACCCCGTATAAGTGTAACAAAACCAGAAATACATTGACACAGACCAGCCATTAGAAAAGTATTCATTGAAAAACATTTAATGTTATAAATTAAAGGCTGACTCAAACAAAACAAAACAAAAAAATTTATTTATTTGATTACTAACCCTGCCTTTTTCATCAGTAATTAAAATGAGAGAGAGCATCATCCTAAATTTGTACCTGTTGGATTTCTTTGTCATAGAACTACTGATTGTTTTGCTACATAGCACATAGAAAGTGATAACTAGCTCTGTATTGTGGACTGGTATCTTTGTTGGCATTTGTGCTGTAGCTCCCTATTTCTCATTTTTTATAAGAACATCAGTTGGTATGTAGCTTACACAAAACCTGAGAAATTTGTGGCAATTAGCTTTTAGTTTCCTTGTCAGTGGTGACACAGGGAAAAAGTGCTTGTTTAAAGTTTCTCACTTCTGTTTTCCCTTATAACCAGGTCTTTATTAATTTAACATCTGCCACTTAACACTGGAATTTTTGTTGGGCTGTTTTTTTTTTCTTCTGTGTAAACTTGCAGACTGAATGCTACATTTTTTTTTCCCAGAAGGGTGGGAAGGAGGTGATGTAAAAAAAAAAATGTATATATATATTTTTTTCACTCTAAAGCCTAAAATACAGTTGCTTGAACCCGATAAAACGTAACAAGAAAGTACTTAGTTCGGAAAGTTTATGATCCTGGACGAGCCCCCAAAAAGGCTATTGCTAGATTCAGTAATGTAAAAGAAATACCCAGCTTGGTGTATTTTTTTTAGAATTGAATATAAAAAGGAAGGGGCTCAAAATGCTATCCTTGTGACATGGATAACCTGCTCCATTAGTTGTAAGCAAGCATTACACAGCATAGTATGAAGTATTACATCAAAATACATTACTGCTTTCACATTGCTTTGTTTGATGCAGGTTTTAGCATTTGATTTTGCAAGAGTGAAACAAACAAATATAACAAAGCAACAAAGTACAGATGCAAATCCAACCCAACAGAATCTCGTGCATTTCTTGGTATTAAACTGACCGAAAGTTTTTCTAGTGTTTTGATTAATACACAATTTAAAAATTATGGTATTGTATACATTTTATTACAATTACTGAAAATTTGTTCCACCTCATAAAATCTTTTTCTCAATTTCATAAAAAAACAACTCTGAATTACAGCATCAGTCTCTTCCTTAGAAAAAAAATAAAAGCAAATCCCAGATTCTCAGTATCTGGCAATAAAAATTGCTTTAACTTCCTCGAACATATAAAAAAGGACACTTTTCAGGTCCAAATTAGAGACTTCAATCAAGAAGCTGCTGGGTCATATTTAGTAACCCAGAGGACTTTCAGGTCTCTAAAAGTTAGCATTAATGGTATCTCTTGCATTTCAAACACATGTAAAAGGTCTTATAGTTGCATTTTGGACTCCAGGATAATTTTTATACACATCAATGATTTTTGTCACTAAAGAAAAAAAACAAAATACTTTTTTTTTTTTTATACTTTTAAAAATGTTTGCCTCTATGTCTGTACAGAACAAAGCTGCTATTTTATTCTTTTTCTCTTTTTGGATGTTATATATATATAAATATATCTATATATAAAGAAATCCTTCAGGTTTGCTATTTTATGATCCCCCACAGCAGTCCCTTTTTATATCTTTAAGCTCTAGTTAAATCAAAAATAAAAGTTAACCCCTCAAGATTTTGAGTAAAACAAAATTTCATTCATTGCCTTTTGTTTTTATGAAATGATTATTTCTCTAGTTTTTTGTCAACTTCTATTATTATTATAAATATTATTGTTGTTTTATTATTATTAGTGATGAACATTTTAGCTCGATGTGTGAGCTTGTACTTCTGCACCCTCTTTTTATGTTATTGTTTAGCACTGTGCCTAGTGTTGCCCCCTAGGCGCATTTTAATCTCAGGTTAAAGTAAAGGCTTTGCTTTCTCCAAACATTCTCCTTTCCCTTACTTGGCTCACCTTTTGCCTGCTCCTTTACAGTGACTCTCATCTGTGAGTTTTTTCTTTACCCTTCAATGTGTTCCAGTCTACGACTCACCAAACCTGTTTATCTGTTGAAGTCAGCATTAGCTCTGACTTGCGAGATACTTTAGACCAGACCTGGTCTTGTGAACCCATCCATCCGATTCCTGTTCACCTGTTAATAGGGCTCACGTGGTTCTCTTGTTTGCCTTAATCATGCCAATCATATTCTTAGCATTTAAAGACCCCTATCACTATTTTGTCCTGTCAAGCACAAAACAAATCCACTTCTGCTTACCGGTATATCAAATCATGAAAATATTTCAAAACCTTCATCTGAAAGCCAAATACAGGATCAGTTAGGGTACATGGAAAAGAAAAAAAATCAGTGTCACAGATTAAAAAAATAAAGGTCTTAATATGGCTGAAAGGAAAAGTGTGTTTTGAAGGATCTCTAATGTTGCCTGGTGATTTCTGTTTTCTTTTTTTTTTTTACCGTATTTTCCTTGTAGGAGTGTTTATTTATTTATTTTATTATTGTGTTTTCCTTTTGAATACCAGTAAAAATCACTGTAAAAAATGCCCCATAAGTAAGTACAAACTTGGTTTATTATATTAATGATTTCATGTATGCATTTTCCTTGGTGTCATGACAAGGGTATTTTTGTTTTGTTTTTTTCTCCATTCAGGCATAAATCTACCTCACTCTTTTTAACTATGTCTGCATACAAAAGAAATGCATCTCACTATTTAAAATTTTAGGAGAAACCTCAACTAACTAAATAAAACAAACAGGAATCTAGAGAAACGTTTAAAAACATGGACTAGGACAGAAGGTGGAATCAGTTTGGCCAATAAATTTGCACACAAAGTGTTTTACAAAAAAAAAAAAAAAACGACTTCCTGCCTCAGATTTGGGACAAAATGAATAATAAATGTTCAGTTTGCACTGCGGTTTTCCTTTCGCTTTCGTTCGTTCAGCGTCAAATCATATTTGACCTGATGGAGCTGCACTGTTTACAGCTTGATCATAAACAGGATGTGATAAATCAAAGCCAAACATTCCTTCTCCACAACGTCCCAGCCTATTGTCACAACCTTCAAATCCTCAAACCACAAACATTAGATTCTTATCCAAAATTTATTTATAAAGAAATCTAATAAGATAAAATGGGAATAATAAAGAAAGGGAAAATAATTATTTACCTCCAAGGATAATAGAAAACTCCACATATATATGCAGTTTTACTTTTTTTTTAATCCAAAAATCTACAGCATTTAGTTTCTTAGTGAAGAATTGATCAGTGTTGTGAATGTAACAGGGACAGATATGTAGTTTTCACACAAAGTATCTAAGAAAATTGTAAATCTCACCTTGTACACGTTTCTACCTTCAGCAAGAATCAAGAAATCTTTAATCTTTTAATCAAAAGTGGCAAACAACTAAAAAAGCCACTATTTAGTTTTATCTTTTGTGTAAACTGCATGTAGTTTTCTGATTGTCATTTTTCGATTAGAAATGTTCCACCCACTTGTGTCAATGTGCGTTTCTTGCTTACTAGTGTGAATATTTTAGCATTTACAATGGATATTACAATTCAAGAAGCCATGATAAAATGTCAGGTTTATGGGATGTTAAAGATTTAGACCAAGATGAACCATTTCAGAATTCAAATCCCCCTTTAATGCAGCATGAAGAAAATTTTTAATCTTTATGAGGAAATACAAGGAATCAAACCTAAAATGATGATGTTGCATGAGTATATTCCTATTGAACTACTACGCTAAAGTAACTTTGGATTTTATAATAGCCCTATTTATCTTTTTATGTAGGAGTCATTCAGCTTCCACATTTTGACATTGTAATATTTGTCCTTTTTCTTTATAAAAGCACAATATCATCTGGTCTTCGCAGCTCTTCTCAGGGGGCATCACAGATTTGTCTGGGATGGCATCTTTTAGACATGAAGCCGTTCTTATGTTGACTTTACTGAAAGCTTTGGGTTGTTGTGAAGAAAGGTCTAGTGCATCTTAGCTTTGGATTTGCTAAAGAGACCGTAACGATTTGGAACATTGAACCTTGTCTGGGAGGCAAATTTCCATCTGGGAGCAAAATTCCCAAGGCATGATGCTACCATCACCATGCTTCACTGTGTGTTTGATGCGCTTTAACTTATGTGCAGTGTTTTCTTTTTGTATTTGTTTTTTTTTTATTGTTTTATATTGCACCAAACACCTTTGGGAAACATGACCAAAATGTTCAACCTTGGTTTTGTTGGACCATATCACCTTTTTCATGCCATGCTTTAGGGAAACTTCTAAATGTGTTTCTTTTTTCCCCAGTTTGGATACTTTTCTTTTTAAGAAATGGCTCCCAGCTTGCCACTCTGTGACCCGTCTTAAAATAACGAGCAGACTTATTTAACCGCAACATTTTTGGTTTCCATTCCCCTTCTTAAAGATTTTACTTTGTTTAAATAATTGTTGTATATTATGCTTTATTTTAAAGGTGGAAAAGGATCTGAAATGGTTTATAATGTCCTCAAGTTTTACATAAAAAAGCAAGTACCTAAATGGAGGGGATGTATTTCAAATCTATTTATATACCCCACGTTTTAGTGCTGCCATTTCAGTCACCACAGAGGATCTCACAGCATCACAAACAATGATATCTGTACAAGTAAGCAAAGTAGTTGAAACACCTCAAAACCTCTTATAAAGCCTCCACCATAGCTGTATATATATATATATATATATATATATATATATATATATATATATATATATATATATAGCTATGAGTTAGATAAAGATAACTTTTTGTATTAAGGTTTGGTGCTCATTCCTCTTGATCATGCAACCGAATTATCTTTTTTAATAAGAACCAGGTTGCTGCTGAATTCAAAAGCCACCACCGTCGAGCAAAAACGTTCAAGAAGGTAACATATCTGTGTGTTCATTTTTGTGCAGAATCGTCAATTATTCTAATTTTTCAGCTCATAGCCTTCAATGATCCACTGACCAATGAGCTACCAGATACTAGATCCCAAGCCTGTAACATTTCCTACATTAGCCACATGGAGGTCAGGGATGTTGCATATACATACATATATATTACAGGTACTTCAGTTAACAAGTAGACAATTTAGTTAGAAAAAGATAAACCAAGATTTCAAAAGTCACTCCTGTTTTTTTCTTGTAGACTTCAATCCTAATAACACTCAGACATTTTTTCAGTTCTTCATAAAAGGTTCAAGTTTATGGAGATGCATCACAGCATTGTCCTGCAATAATGAGGTTGGAAGTGCATCAATTCACTCATGTCTGTTTTTTTAATGTTTTTTTTTTATCATCTGCATTCCTAAAACCTTCAGCGGGGCCTTGGTCTTCTACTGGCACTACTCTTTTATTAAAAATCTGTGTCTTCATAACTTGATCGGGGGAAGATAATCAAACTGTGTTCTCTAGTCTCTGTCTTCTTTTCAAGCTCTGTATCTGAGGCCTCAAAAGTTTTTTCACACTTATAGCTGAGATGGTGTATTTTTGACAAGCTGTCTCAAAATGTGTATAAGAGAATTCCTTGTATTTTACTTTTTTCTGAAAATTTGAATAAATAAGTAAATGAGACTGAAGCTTTTCAATCGTTTTATACTCCTACATGTTACATTCTATTTACATCACCTGTCTATCTGCTGAAGTGATGGGAACATATACAGCTCTCTGACAAGTACCCCTTTTCCTTGAGATTTTTTTTCCCATTCTGTCATGTTACCACCACTATCATGGTTACCAATAAAAGTCTGAAAGGTTTTGCACATTTGCATTTCCTTCTTACTCTGATGAGCCTAAATAAAACCAAGTGCAACACATTTCTTTAAAAGACATATTTATTAATCAGAGTAATTTCCTCTGTCTAAATGCAGCTTTTCTTTACAATGTTTGTTCCAGAACACGAAGCATAGCAGAGAGCAAGGAACTCAACAGACAAGTCAGGGATAAAGTTAAGATGTTTATAAAGTTGTATTTGAACATTTTAATGTAGCACTCTTCAGGTATCATTTGGAAAAATGGGAAGGAAAATAGTTGAACTAAAATTCACACTAGCTATAGTGTCCATCTTAAGGAGACGACTATTTGAGAAGCGGCCAAAGCTGGAGCAACTGTGGAGGAGCTGCAGAGAACCACAACTCAATCTTTCAACAGGAGTATATCATCTATGAGCTTGATAACCTTACTGTTATGGAGGAGAGTCACAAAGACAGTTAAGAATAAATACTGTTGAAATCTAATTAGTTCTGTTTGATGAAGCCATAGAGGGGAAACACAGTTAACCAGAGCAAGGATGTGCTATTTTAAGATTAGACCTAAATGAATGTTTAACCTATTATTACAGAACAGAAATGCAACTCTGTTGAGAAACCATGGCGGTGGCAGCACCTGGTGGGAATGGATGTCTTCAGCAGCATCTAGGAAAGGTGGTCAGAGTTGGAGGGACAAAAGATGAAGCTCAATACAGGAGAATCTTGGAAGAAGACCTTAGACTGATGCATATGTTGACCTGCCAGCAGTACACAGTCCTAAACATGCAACCAGAGCTACAAGGACAAAGTTTAGTTCAAAGCATATGCGTTTACGAAATTAAATTGCTCATTAATGTCTGCGGGTCATTCTAATCTAACTGAGACCACGTAGCAAAACTTCAAAACTAAAGTTAACAGAAGCTTTTTGTTGGGACCAGTCGTTTCAAAACTCAGTGAAATTGTCAAACTTTTGCTGTTGCAACATGACCATAAGTTGAATAGTAAAAGTTCAGGGGTTGATGTTAGTGATCTTCCAGTTGTTTGAGCATTTTGACGATGATTTCTCGCAGTAGAGGTAAAAGTCTCTTGGCTGAGGCTAAACTCCCAGATGAGGGAACATGGATGAAGGCAGCTCTGCGCTCACCGTGATACAGAGAGCAGTAATAGGCAAAATCGCACAGGTATCTGAAAAGAAGACACAAAGTATGACAATATTGGTCCGTCGATTAATGGATAGGGGGACATGGAAGGCTACCTGCCAGCGTCTCTTGAATAAATGACATCCATCCCTGCTTGCTTGTAGTGCTTAGAGATGGCCCTCACATTGACAACAGAGTCTAGTTTTTCCGGCCCACCTTCAATGCAGCGGTAATCTGGAGGGAAGAAGCCGCATACATCTCTGTCCGAGTATCCACTGTTCTTACCAGTTTGCTCCAAAATAATAACACTGGAGGCTCTTGCAATGCCCAGGTGAACAGCAAACTGGAAGAAGATGCATGCAGACACATCAGTACTGTGTTTTAAGAGCAAGCAGTACCTCTACAGATACTAGGGGTGTAAATAACAATCGTTTTGTATCGATGCATCGATCCAACAGCCGACGATACGATGCATCAACACCTCTGCAAAAGTATCAATTCATGTTTTTTTTTTTTCTCCGGTCTCTTATCCTTTTGCTCCTCTAACAACTTTGCTACTACTGTTATTTCTCAAATAAAAAGCATAACAATATTGCAACTTTTATAGATTTATATCAAATTTGAAACATTGTCTAACCTGTAAGGCAAAAAGAAATTAACCAATTAATCGAATTGAATCGTATCGTAGTGTATTCTTGAGTACGGTCTCGAAAATAATCGAATCGTTAGGTCAGGAAATTGATACTGAATCGAATCGCCATGATGGGTGTGATTTACACCCCTAACAGATACTGTAACAAAACAGTGATGTCATGTCTTAAATATATTGGTATGTTGTGATAATCTTAAGAGCGTAACAAAAGGAGAATATATGTGTAGCGTATATTACGGGGTTTCATCTGTGCCAAAAATATGTTTGTGTCTTTAGACATGTCCATGTGGGGATTGGCGGTCTAGTGGTTAGGGCATACAGCTTGAAATCCAGAGGATCAGAGTTTGAGCCCCGCTCCTACTGTACAAACTGCCACCCTGGCTCTCTGAGCAAGACCCTTAACCCCACACTGCTCCCTGAGCGCCCCATGATGGCAGCCCACTGCTCCTTAAGGCGATGGGTTAAATACAGAGCTAAATTTCTCCAATGTGAGATAAAGTTCAATTATAAATTGTCTATTATTGTTACAGTATGTCTTTGTTAAGAGTGTATCTAACATAATGCAAGCTGCATATGTAGTGTGTATGCAAGATAAAGATGTTGTATCCATGTGCCGCACATGTCACAACACAAGCATATTTTCGACACAAATGGAACCCCATATAAATTGCATTATGACATCTGTAAGTTATTTTAATGAGTCCACAAAACTCTTACTTCTACCTTTGGTTTAAGAGTCTGCCAGAGTTTAGCAATAATCTCCTGAGTTGTCTTGTAACTAACTGGCAGCTCCTTGATGTAAACGTCGATGCTGTCTCCCAACCCGGCCAGCTTTAATCCCTGCGGTAAATCAAACACAGTTATCATTAACCAGAGAGGCAAACAGTTGTTTGCTCTCCATACTTTAGACCTTACCTGGGCTGCTGTCCAGCTGGGGTTCACCAAAAACTGTCTGAAGGGTCCAAACCCTTAAAGGCATATTCAGATCATGTTTTGAAATGATTTAAACAGTTTAAATACAACAAAGCAAGGCAAATATAAATTCTACCTGTGACAACAACAGTTTCCCTTCCACTCATAATCCGTCCACAAACTACTGTAGCAGTAAACAAAGAAAATCACTGGTTTACCTCTTGTAATGTACTGCTTGTCCGCAAGGGGGAGCCCCCGTTTAAAATAACTAAAGGGTAGCAGGTTGCTGCCTTCATGTCCTCCTCTTTCATCTCTTAAAACCCTGTCTGTACTTTGTCTGTAAATGATGTTACTCTATTATCCGAACACTTTTCTGTTACTCTAGCATAATTTCCAATGACTCACTTTGCTAAAGAGACACTATGAGAAAACTGTGTGTGAAAATGTGTGTTTAAAAGCTGAACGCAGATGCCAAATGTATGGACCCCATCTATAAAGAGAGACGTCACAAATATAGCTTACAACTGAAAAATACAAGATAGTCTTTCTTCTCTGAGATTGTCAGCAAAAATATTAACCATGCTCATGTCTTATTTGGTTTTATTAACAGGTTAACAAACAACCCTGTTTTTGCATCTGAACTCCACTCTACTAAGGCCTGGCACAAATTCCTTTTTACTGGAAAAACCCAAAAGATTAGAGCGCCAGTACCAAGCCAGTACCAAGTTTATTTTAAACTAGAACTGATCTTGACAACATTTTTTAATTTGACCAAATACATCACAAAACCAGGCAGAAATCTTATACCAACTAAGCTCTTCCCTCTGCTGTCTTGCGGTTTTACCCACAGCCGTCCTTAACCNCAGGCAGAAATCTTATACCAACTAAGCTCTTCCCTCTGCTGTCTTGCGGTTTTACCCACAGCCGTCCTTAACCTTACCTACTGTAAATTAAGTTGTAAAATAGTTAACAAGTCAAGAAAAAAGGTAAAAAGCTAATTGTAAATTTAAAAAATAAAGTTCAAAAGTTAATACGCATAGTTAACAATTATATTTAGCTTTATAAACTAAAAAATGTAAGTGCCAGTACCAGCATTAATGCCTCAAAGGTTATGTTGGACCAAAAAAAAAATTGTTTCTTTCACTCTCAGAATGTTTTTCATGAATTTCTTATAGATGCACTTTTGTTGTTTTTCTTAATATGTTCGGACAAGTTGGCGTTTCTTTTTATTACATTGACATATTCCTAGAACAGTATTGGCTTGAAATTTTAATTTTCAAAGTATTTCACTAAGTGCCCTATAAAGAGTTAAGAATGCTCGGTCTTTGATAACATCATGTTTAATTTAAATGTTGTTCTCATCCCTTTTGTCAGCTGTTTTACCCCAAATCCTAAACACAACACTTATCAAACTGCTCTTAAAACAGAGAAACTTGGACAAGCTACTACTGCAGAATTAAAGGCCCCTCTCAAATCTCCCACACAAGTAACGTGATCGAAGAAGCTCAGTTCCAACAGATAAACACCTTCCTAACAATGACCAGCTACTCTGATGTCTTCTAGTCAGGTTTTCGTGCTCACCACAGTAGAGACTGTCCTTATTAAGGTGTTATATAACATCTGTGTAAATTCAGACTATGAAAGAACCACAGTGCTGGTATTACCTTAGTGCAGCATTCTACACTGTTGTTCACTCATTTTTTTATTAAAGAACTTGGAAAACCGTGTCGACATTTCTGGTACAGCTCTGAACTGGTTAAAATCCTCCTTAGAGGAAAGGGAGTGTTTTTTCTGTAATTAGGTAACCCTAAATCAAAGAAAATCAAGAAAAAGTTGTTGCAGCCATTCCACAGTCTCATCTATAACAAATAGCATCAACAAAGTATTGTCAATTTTGAGATTTATGCTTTTACACCTGTAAGCACTTTAACATACAGTAGATGTCTATTGTTTAGTTTATTTCTGAACTGCATCATAACCATAAGGGGGGTTCAATGATCTATGAAAGCGGTCTTCAAAGTTTTCGAGGCCAAGGTCCCCCAAACTGATGGCAAGAAGGAGCAGGGACCCCCTAATTATATATTGTATGAAATTGTGTTATATGAAACTGGTCTTATAGTTACTCTATTACATATGGAGTAATGTAACAAAAATAATTTCTCCCTGGAATTATTAAAGTATGTCT